AAATAAGACCGGTGCAAGGCAGGCGAATGAATTTTTGCGTTTGGCTACATTCCACTCCATTTTCACTTTTTTGGTTCAACGAAATCCGCCCTAAGAGGCAGAAGCTCAAAGCTCAGGAACTAAGAACGTCGTCAATTTGTTTCTAGCGCAGGCCTCTTTTTTTTTTCTTTTTTTTTTTTTATGATTTCCAAGGAATCTTTTACTGTGTAACTTTTTCCTCTGAAAGGCCGGAAGTACTTTTGACTTCTAATATGCGTGCTTATTTTAAACCTATTGTTAGAAATAAAACTCTCTGCGCATTCTTCAGCGATCCCCGCTTTACTAGAACGTTCAATTTGGAAGCACTGAACACATCGAAAAGTAACCCATGTATGCAGCTTTCGGCGTAAACACGGATTTGGCCAAAGGCACAATATTGTTCCTAAAACGGACAATAAAAAGGATCAAGCACAAGAAAAAAGAAGAATTTAAGTCTTTCTTTTTGCTTCCTTTGGGGAAAAGCTTCACTGAGAATGCTTCGCAGACGACAGCTCTGTCCCTTTCGCCAGGGAGCATCGAAGGCCGCGCACTTCAAAAGTATGTTTGCATGCACTGTTACAGTAGGCACGAGCACGGCCTCGATTAGGACACTGGGAAAAGGCATTTCCGATGTTTCTTTTTTCTTTCTTTAAGGAGGGACGACAGACCCAGAAGGCTTGGGGCCTTTCCACGTCAGCTTTTGATCAAAGCCGTTTTGAAAAGAACCCGGAGAAGTGGCGTGAGGATTCCTCCACACGTCAAAACGATCTTGAATGCAGGAATGCGGCAAATTTATCTTCGTGAATGATGTGAAGTATTTTACAAATGATTTAATTTTGTATACCATGGAAAATATTTTTTTTTAATTTTTCTGTATAAATAATTTTGTATTAATTCGTTTCTCACGACCTACAGGAGTTTTGAGGACCGGGGCTCCTGGTGTGGAGCCCGCTGAGACCGTATACCTTAACCCAGTCCTGCCTGAGAGGTTGATAAGAGCAATGCTTGTGGTCAGGCACATTATTAATATCACCGGTGGTGATGACATGTACATTGGGAAGTGGAAGGAAGCATGCCGAGCAGTTAAATACAGCCGAAAATGGAAGGCTTCGGCCGCAAGTATCGCAGGGTGCTGCACGCGCTGGCTCGTATAGTCTGATGTCGCACAGCGACTACTGGCTTTTCAGTCTAATGATTCCCATGGAATTATTCGATGACTGATAAGGAACATCAGTAGTGAAAAAGTTTAGTTTGGCATTATTGCACTTTAAAGCCCAATGTCGTAAAAAACAAATTTCTGATCTAAGAAGCTACGAATCTTCTAACTGCTCGGTCATTATCACAGTCGTGAAATACAATAATATGAAAAAACATATTTCTGAAACTCGCTTTAGTTGTTCCTTAAAACCCCCGCCCCCCCCCCCCCCCCCCCCCCCCCTTCCCGAGATATTTGTTAGGAAGCGAACAAGGTACGTGCGCCCTGCAGTCATAAAAACAAAACGAAGGAGCACTGCAATTTTCTTTGTTTTCGTGTTGTTTTGGGGTTCTTTTTAAAACTATGTGTGGGCCTGTCCTGGTTTGTTTGCACAACACTCATTTGTCAGCGCTTGTATGAAACGCGCGTAAATGTTCTTAAATTATTTAATCGCGCTAATCCACAAATCCCACCGTGGTTCTCTTTTCTCACCGTACAGGCTGGTTAGGGCGAGTATTGATAAGTACAGCCATTGATAAGTAACTATCGATGTCTGGTCCGAGGCTAAATTAGAGTAGAGCAGAGGTTGCGCAAGTCGCGCACAACCTCTGCTTTCCGCCATGAATACCAAATCAAGCGATACTAAAGCCCAATTTAATGTTGTTGACATGCCCAACAATGTTTGCGGCTCGTTTGGTTCAGATACATATATGCACCGAACATGTCCGCAGTGTGCTATTGTATACCCTACTCTGACAGGACAAGGAAGAAACAAAACTGTTTTCTGCGACATATTAGCTGCGCAACAGTGGGTTTATGTCTAACAAAATAGTCTCAATATCCCATCCGCAAGGCCAAAAAATAACTTACAAAAAAAAAAAAAAAAAAAAAAGCCCTGGCACGCGAGTTTGAGACGTAACTTACTGCCACGATACTGGATCGAGAAAAAAAAGAGCGAGAAGAAAACAAGAATGGATAGAAGGGAAGAAAGAGAGCGCGCATCCGCGGAAGAATGTCGTCTGCTACGCAACGTGTAGCAGACGGCAAGCAGGAGCAGCCGTTTGGTAAAGCGCGCTCCCACCGGAAGCGCGGACTTCCGTTGGCGGCTGCCAGAGCACGCGTCGTCTGCTACCGCGGCTGGCTCGTGTCACTCCTTGGAGCCCCGCTTCTTCTGCCCCCTACCTTCGCTGAAGACCCCCCCTCATCCTTGAATACTCCCCCGTCCGCGCTTCGAGCCCCGTAAATATACCATTTTGAGCGAGCTTTTCTCCGGGAAAAAGCAGCTGCCGAGCATAATGGAGGCGCGCACGACGTCTGCGGCCCCCCCATCTTTGCTGTCGGAGGGGGGACGACCCGCGGTATTATAACGGAAGAGAGGGGGTCTTTTCCTTGGGGGCTGGGGGGCAGAGCCCCAGCCGAGGACCCGCTGCGCATTGCCGTTAGCGACTCGGGGCAAAAACGTAACAAAGACGGACTTGTTTCCGTGGCCATTGAGATCGCAGTGGCGTGGCGTGGCTTTCTTCTTTGAGCCGCGGAAGGGTTAGACTCGGAGATCATCCAAGACCTCGTTTCCTGTTTAAGCACGTACCGTGTTTTGCGGAGTATCGTCCCCGGGCTATACGTATCTAAGAGTTCGGATTTTATGCTTTCGTTAAAATATCGTTAATTATGAGGAGACGTAATGAATTTTGGTAGCGCGTTAGCGACAATTTATCTATGTGCAAGCTCTTGGTGCAAGCTTGTAAAGCTGTGCTGTGTATACGAAGTCGTTAGGTGCCGACTAAGCACTAGGTGCGGACAGGGTGCGCACTATCTAAATAAACACTTTAAGTAAGTAAAATAGAAATGAATGTAGACATGTTTTAAACGTCCCAGGCCTCATGGTGCATGCGATCATCAGACTTGTCCAGACTGTTTCTTACGGCGTCGCTTCTGCCTCAACTTTTACAACCGGTTAATAGCTATTGTCATCATTTAATGCCTCGATTAAATAAAGAAGTGTTTAAGTACTTTTGGATCTAATCGAGATATTAAATGTTGATAATCATTCTCAGCGGCGCCCTAAATACGGATATGTTTCTATCTTTCGGCGGTAAGAATTGGTGAGCGGCGTTCGGCAACTTTCAGTTCCTTGTGAAATTTTGTTTCACTGTTGACAAACGACGACAATGAGTCGGAGGCCTGTGTAAGCATGGTTCTGAGACCTCCAGACTGTAGTTATCAGAACCACGCTTAGACAGGTTTGCAGATCATCCTCGTTGTTTGTAAACAGCTAAACTTAGCGATTAATTTCCTAAGGAACCAGATATTGCCAAAACGCCGCCCACCTATTGAAAGAAAAACAGGACATTCCCCAAGAGCCTTCCTGTGCAAAGTGTTCGTTTATGAACTGCCACTAAGAGGGTATCAGAGCTGAACGACACCTTTCACAAGGAACGCAGTCATTTGCGGCACGTTACTTAATGACCAAGTCAAAAATACACTCCGTTCGACAGAAGATTTTGAAGTACTTTCTCTTTTTTTTTTTTTGGACAACTAGTCACGCACGTAGCTACATTTTTTACCTAAACAGGACTGGAAAACGAACTCTTGGCTCATACTAACTCGCTAAACAAAAGCCTTAACTCGCCATAAAAAAAAAAAAAAAAAAAAAAAAAAAAAAAAAGCGAAGAAGCGACTGAACAAGTGAGCGCAGACTTTGTAAAAGTGAATGGTCTGAGTCATGTTTATCGCTAAAAATGAGCAGACTCATTCTTATAACTTACGAAATACAGTACGAAGCGTTTACCTCGCAGGTATAAGTCTAATGACAAAAGTAACTCAGTCGTTTAAGGGTAACGCAGATATTCTCTCTAATATGTAGAGTGACATCTGTTGTAACGTTTAAGTCATTAGCATCTTTAGGGAGTGCCCAACTCGGTACAGGGTTAAATCAAAGGTCTCATAAAGAAAACTCAAGCTGTTAAAGTTGAAAAGGTTCGATCTTACATATCAACGCTTTGTTTACCGACAGCATTTGCATGAGATGAAGCTACTGCGTATGCCCATTGCCGACGGCAGTGGCACCCAGCGACATAAAGACCAGCAGCCGCGCCACCCCAGCAATGTCAGAGAGTTCAGTTGGTGAATGTTACACTAACCGGCTTGAGTTACACTACAAGGCCAGTTTATAGAACAACGCGTATAAATCTTTGTCGCTTTATCCAATGCGAGACGGTCATATATTCGATTTTTATTTTTCCCTCTGGTTCGTAAGTAACAATGAGTCTCGAGGGTGGCCAGGTGCCAGCCACGCGTCCAAAGCGCGCCACTGCTATTCGAACACAGATGCGGAAAGGAAAAAAAAAAAAAAAAAAAACACTAAGGCGCAATATCTAACAACATGTAAATATGCAAATCCGCACGGTTCAAAGGGAACAAACACCACCCCTCGCCGCCGCCGAGAACTCCGAAGGGTCGCATTGGACAAAAAGGCTCCTTAGGAAACGCCAAAAATCAAAACACAAACCCCCTTCCCGCTTTTTCAAAACTAAAAATTATAAAAATAAAAAGCATGCGGCTAAACCGTGTCGCACGCGAGCGCGCGTCGCCGCCAGCCGCAAATCCCAAAATGGCGCCTCTATTCAAACAGCTTCTCCCATCCGCCGCGGGAGGGCGCCTCTTGCCGCGCTCTTTCGGCGCTTCCGATTGGTGGGGCCGGAAGGCGTCTCCTGATTGGCTGTTCTGGCGCGTGCCGGTCGCGCGGCTTTTGGGACCCAAGTTGGCCTCGGCGTGAGCAGCTGTCGTCGTTGTGGCGGTGGTCGCGTCAAACGGACGGCAATGCGCGCCTCGCCGCAAGTCGCCTTGTCTCCGCCGGGTGACGTGCTCTTGTGGACTTACGCCGTGAAGCAGCCAGCGGGCAAGCGGAGGCTTCCAGCCGTGCACAAGGTAAGACACTTCTTTACTTATATCTCTCGGGGGGACATTCGGGAACAGGTGTGGAAAATCGCGCATCGAGTGTTTTTGTTACATGCTATGCTCCGTCAGGAACGCTGTGCGTTCCTTATATGGTTAACGCTTCTCGCTTCGTGATTGCTTTCTCGGCCTTGTTAGCGGGGAATACCATTAATTACGGAGCAATAATTAGGTGCCTGAGACTCGTCGCGCCCGGCCTCGTTCATGAATACGACACTCTAGAGTTTGATGACCATCGTCATGTTCGCATACACTCATGTTTAGCAAATGGTTCACCGAACGGTTTGCGTTCCACGGCTGCGAAAGGTCCTGATGCGATTTATATAGAATTAGTCCTTCATTTTCATCCACATCTCGGGCGATGTTAGGCCAACATAGCAACCCCTATAGTTGACTTGTTAGATAGTTCCGAGTGTCTAAAAAAGTCGAAGGAATCTCGGAGCATTTGGGGATCACTAAAAGGGTGAATCATTTAACGTGCAACCAAAATCTCCCGTACGAGGCTGCTTCTCCACATTTCGCCACCGTCACAGCGTGTATCTTAGAAACATATAAATGTATTTAACGCCGTATTACGATATTACGGGGGGAAGTATGTATAACTCGAAGAACGTGAAGACAAACACCTAATTATGGCTCACAAAAACAAAGAATTAACAAAGTACATAATTTTTTTTATCTAGTTCGGTCATGAATAGCCATAGTTTTCCTATGGACATGGTTATATGGAAGTGCGAGAGTTGAACGAATTGAAATACTTTTGGATTCCTCTGAAAAACGCCTTCTCTATTTAATTCTTAGTGACTTTGGACCAGGCTGGATAATATAAATCGAAATGACTTAAAGAGGGATTTAAATTATTATTTAAATTATGATTTAAATAGCACCGGCTTTACTCTAGTAACTAAAATCAAACTTTTAGCGGCAAAAAGAAAATTAAATGTTTTTTTTTTAATTTGAATATTGGTACGTGCCTTTATTTTGTAGTTATGTGGAGAAGTCGATAAACGATAAATATACCAGGCTGAAGACAAGCTAAATCTTCCGAGCATATCGGATCTTTCTACGTTCCAGTTGTTTGTCAGTTTAAAGTGCGTACGTGCACCCTGCAACATAATTAAATTTGCAGGGAGTTTCTCTTCCACAGTTTTGAATCATTGAGCAGAGTAAAAAATCAATCTGAGATGTTCGAAAAATATATATAAACATAGGTATATTTTGAGTGAAGTAATGTCAATCGCATATCCTTTTTATTTATATCTAATAAATCTGAATTAAAGCAACTGAATTTTATATATGTCAAATCAATCTTCTTTACGGGATTTTTACATAAAAAGAAAAGATGATTTCTCTTCACTTTGATTTGGACTCTGCATGGAGAGATTTCGGAGCTCTTTTTTGTTGACATCTGCTTGGGCGTCCAAGCGCGCACTCTCATTTACTGCTCTAAAGGCGCGCGCGTGGAGCGCTTTCGCATCGCTCCAAATCCACCCAGAGAATTTTATATATGTGGCCGGATGTATCGGAAGGAGCTGTAAGCAAAATTTTGACGCAAACAAGAATTACGAAATATTCCTAACAAAAGAAAAAAAAAAATGAACGAGAGTACTGTTAACGTGAGGTAAAATTCGCAAATGACAATGATGTGTACAGCCTCAAAGGTGATTCAGAGGTTTGCCTATAACTGTGCATTCGTTCAGCAACCTTATTGAATACACCTTTTATAGCCGTAAAATTTGGCGCCGTTGCTTAGGGCATTAGTTGAGCGCTGGGAGAGAGTGCACCTGGGCTGTGTGGAGAAGCAAACGTATTCCAGCTTGAAACAGCTACTCTATACCAAAGGTGGGCTTAACGACTCTACCCAAGAACGGGTAAAATACACGTAAAAATGTTTAAAAATACGAAGGAACAATACTTCTACAATTATGTATTTAATTACCTTTTTTTTTACACTTTGTAAAAAAAAGTTTTCAAATGTGAGGTAGAAATACAACGGGGGTGTTTCGTCATCTTCAAATATTCTATAAAATCAATTTTTTTCTCATTGTTTGACCATATCAGCTATATATTAAACCCCGAGTAAAAACGACGTGCCCAAATGAAGATTTATTTTCATATGTACCAATAATGAAATGCATAAAAAAATTTAAACTTTAAAAATATTTTATATTTTTATGCGTGTACACTAGGAAAGCAATGTTTTAGTAGGATTTTTTTTTTCAGTGGTTCATTGGAAGCCACGAATCATGTTCGAACAACATATCAATTCGGCGGCTTGAAAAATAAAATTGATCAACCACCTAAATTTTTTATCCCGTTCATTTCTGATCTTCATTTACTATATATTTTTAAGCAAAACTCAGCACGTTTTATGCGTTTTGCATAAAGGCCACTGCCATCGCGAAGATTGTCTAAAATGTCTTTTTATACCGAAAAAGGGTGCCAAAATTGTATTGGAGCAGTATTTTCAATACAAGTAATTAAAATACAAAATTTTCAGTATTTAAATACAATTAACAAAATCATTTCAGAACATTTAATGAAATACAAAATACTAAAATCATTTTAAATACGTATTTCACATACTTATATTATAAATATCGCCCATCACAGACCCTATTAGTTAAATATGGCATGTACCACAAACGCTTCATCCTAGAGAATAAATCCCCTTGGACCTCGATAAAATGCGTTTCTTAGTGAGAGATCTGTGAAAAATAAAATAACCTTTCTAATTGCTGAGACGTATAAACGGTGAAGTCTCCAGCTTATAAGGTGGTAGAGCAGTCTCTAGACTCGTGATACCGGTCGCATGTTTCTGTTGCTCCTTTACAGGTACGTGCAGCGCTTCTTGCTTGTAAAGTGTATGTAAATTGCGAGTCGCAAAATATCTCTATAACCTCGCTAGGATTCTCAGCACATTTTAAAGGTGTCCAGCCCCCCCAACAGCTGGTCTGGGACAAGCTTAATTAAGCCTTCAACTTAATAAGATAGCTTAGTTTGTGCCTAGGTAGCAAGCCAGAGACGCGCCTATACTGGGCTAAAGTTTGGCAACCCTAGGGGCTTCACATGGGCCCAATACGGTTTCGCCCGAATGCGTTCCTTAGTGCGAGAGTACTCTTTTCTTGCGTTCCTATGAATTCTCTCAGGTTTGCCACACAATTGCCAAGGTGCACGACTGGAGCCAAACATGCCACGCATTTATGAACCGAAGAACCCGCAGTGAAACCTATTTGTGGCTCCTCTTTGCCGATTTAGAGAGGCCAGATGACAGCCAAACTACCAGCAGTCGAGCCTAAAATGTGCACTTATTTGGCGAAAAAAAAAAAAGGGTCATTTTTGGCTTTACATCAGCCTCTTCGGGCTTTTTAGGTCCCTGAATTCCCAGACACAGTCAACATTTTGGCTCGTAGAGCTGTGCTGCCTGGGTGGGCACCTCCAACTTCAAGCACATGTCGAACCAGTAGTGGGTCACGAATACGGCCCTACATCAGGCAGAAAAGTAGCGAACAATAGACCGATCTCACCAGCTATAGTTTGAGTACGCCACCGCTGCCGATATGCATCGTGGGAGCTGAAGTCTTTCTGCACTCGCGACAACCCTGCTGGAGGTCTGCGCGAGCAGAGCACGAGGCGGCATGAGCTATCTCGTGAACTGGCGTGTGCCTCCTACGAACTACAGCTATGGCAGCGTCACGCATGCGTGGAACGCTTGGTAAGATCGGTCCATTGAAAAGCACAAAGAAATGCCTAGAGAGTGAAGATCACCATGCACCTAAATAACAAAATAACGGGCCACATCAAAACGTCACTGTACATAGTAGACCACATATTTTAAGAGTTGACTCACGAGGCTAAAATAACGCGCACAGCTGCAGAACATTGCGCCTCGCAGTACTTGGGATTTCAGGGACGTCTAATGAACCGTTACCGTGTTCCGCGTACCGCACTACCGTAGCCTTCGAAGCGGGCTTTGAATCGCGCGCACGGGAGATGTACGGGACGCGGTACACGTTAACAGCCCCCCCTATAATGTGATGTGAGGCGATTTGGCATTTTCAGGCACACGTTGCCATAAAAGTGGAGGTGGTATAAAGCAAAGAACGTGGCGAACGCGAGCGTAGGAATAAGGTTACAGTACGTCAGGAAAGGAAGGTGTACTCCCCACTTACACGAGTGTTTAGGAAGTTTTTATAGATGGTTTTTGCCGTCCCGCAACGATCTCCGCAACCCGCTACGATACGCGTAACTCTGCAGCCAAGGCCATTGGCGCGCAGGTGCAGTATCGGCTTCTTCGTTGCGAAGGGGGAAGCGCGGTCTACGAAAACTCCCCTTTGATAGCCACTGGCGGCTTAAAAGGCCGACTTACAGAATCGTCTTCTGCCGGGCAGAAAACCGGGTCCCAGTTTCCTTCTCTCCCCACAGGAGCGGGGCTCCGAGCTACCCCCCACAGAAAGGAGGAAGGTATCCTCCTTTTTCAAATGGAAAGGAGAAATTGAGGGAGAGTTTGCTCCTTCTTGCTTGTTCGTCGGCCTTTAAGCAACGCAGTGCGCGTCGAATCCTCAAGGACCCTATTATCGCTCCGCACCGAATAAAATTGCTGTCTTAGTCGATAAGAGCAGCGGACAGCGTACCACGAAGCAACCGAGCATGGACACAATAAGACACTTCTCGTATTTCGAGAGTCGCGGTCACGCTGTTCGGACATAATACAACGGTGTTCCCCGCAAGAATTGACGACGGACGCACCATGCTTGCTTCGGACATATGTATACTTCGAAGATGCCTCCAGGCAGTTGTTTTTGCGACCAGCGCGTCAGGACCGTGATACAAGAAGGAAGCGCTCCTCAGAGAGTAGCTGCAGACTTTCGTTTGCACGAGGTATTTGCAGCGGGGCCGCGGCTTTCAGGCGTCAATCAACAGAGTAATGATCTTGCAGTAATCTAATGTCTCGTTTAGGACCTGAACGTAAA